ATGATAAACCGAATCAATCAACTTATTTTGCCTTGGGAAATTGGGCATTTTGGGAAATGACATATACTTTATGAATTTGCGGAGACGATTTTAAAGAATGGAAGACTTCACAAAAGGAAATAAAAATAATTTTTCCGAAGGTAAATATCAAAGAAAATATGACGCCGCTTTGTCAAATCTTAAGGGAAGACTTTCGGCTGAAGATTTGTCGGTACGAGTGTCGGTCAACTTAACGGCTAATTCGCACATGTCACATCTTATATTTTCAGTTATCAGGCAGTCCTTTTGGTCCACCGGAAAGGCCAGGTTTTTCGTCCAAATCCGGCTCGTTCGTTACGTCTATTTCAGATCGACCAGTGCACCATTTATATTTGATATTGCCGATTTTTCTGTTTGGCAAATCCGACAAATTGAGACGTATAACTAGGGCTTTCCTACCTGAAAATTTAAAGGTAGGTGAGCAAAAACAAAGTAAATACCCTTTTAGTTCTGTTGAACTGTTAGTGTCTCTAAGCCAATCACAACGAGCAAGTTGTCTGTTGAACAGGCAGAGAAAACAAAGACATTGCGACGACATTAACGAAGATGCACAGATATAAACTGTCCGGGTTGACCAATGGCAGACCTGCAAACTGAGCACCGGGAGTCGCATTCAGTCCTTTCCGCGCGTTTTTTCGTTCTTATTTGATAAGCATTGTCTTTACTAAATCTGACTAAATACGCTGAACCCGACGGAATTCAAACAGAAAGGAACTGCATGAAGTTTGCTATCTTTTGGATCTCATCAACACTCCTTGATAGAGTGGTGTTCGAACTCATTACAGATACAGGTAGTGCGTCCGTAATGGGAGCGTTCGAAAGTAAAATCAATTTTAGCTGTTTTAGTAGGCTAAGCCACTAGTACTTTGTACAAGGTACCAACGACGCAAGCCAGCGAGGGGTTTAGAATTACCTACAGCAAGATGAGAAAGTCGTTGACTAATGACATTTTGTCTTTACAGCTTTGGAAGAGTCAAGCATTTGCAAGAGAATTTAAACAAAGAGAAAATGATGTAAAGAGTGATAGCTAACAAGACAGAACAGCGGCAGAAGGGATTGACAAGGAAGAATACCTTTAACTTTAAAGAATTTCAAACATGTCTATAATTTTCTCTATGAGCGAGAAGGAGAACCTGGAAACAACAGTGCAAGTCTCATAAGAACTGAGAGATACAAACGTTGAATGTTATTTACTTTTAAAAATCTCATATAGGCTTAACATAATTGAAAATTTTATCAGTCCTTGTAAGGATTCGCGGAAATATCTATGCTGCATATTAAACGATTAGTATTTGCTTATTTTTCAGCTGTTGACTGCTCTTTTGATAAGGAAATTTTTACCGCACAAGTCATTCATTTCACCGTCTTTCCTCAAATAAGCGCTTATTTAACATTCTTTTCAAAAATGGGAGGAAACAAATTGCCTAAATCGTCATGTTAAAAATTCCGTGACAAGTGAAAACTGAGGTTAAACCATAAACTGACTTGGCCCTTCCACTTAATTACCACAGATTTCCAGTTAGTGTGACAACTCGTCTCCACCGCCCGACAACAACAGGACTGGTCATTCAGTTAAAGCAGGTTAACGTAGAACAAGCTCGTCTCCGATCCTCTATTGAGTAACAATGGTGGTTATGATGTTTCAAAGAATATGCGTGCGGGAAAAGAGTGAGGTTTTCTTGTGATATCTTTACTATTTTAGACTGTAAAGAAAGAAGAGCTAGGGGCGCCCTTATCGGGTTTATGCCGGGACGATCCTTTTATTTTTCGTGTACGCATGTTAAAGCGTGCAAAAATTCGAGGGATACGAAAGTTGGAAAGTCCTGTGGTGTGAAAAAAAAAAAAATTAAACAAAAAAAATCAACCGTCGTATTAACGATGATATTGTTTCTACGTACTATCGAAAGAGGATGATAAAGACTTTCTACCCATAAAAGCAACTGAATGCAACTTTTCAGTGGAGATACTAATAGCTCAAATAGCAGTCGATGTTGTTTAAGATGTCTTCTAAAGACTGAACTGGACATAAAAGCTACGCGAGTTCCTTTTTGGGGTTTTCAAGGAGAGCATTAGAGAAATGGTGAGACCGCAATTCCAATGCTACTGTTCACTTATATTGTAGAGCTTTCTGTGGCAAATAATATACAATAACGAACGAATCCATTTTCTTTTTTCGCATTTTACAAACGAACACAAGAATTCAACAATGCAAATTAAAGAGCGAAAAAAAGAAGACTAGAGAAGAAATGTAGAAGAAGATCCTATAGTCTCTCCTTAAGTTATGTAATTGCTCCAAGTCACTAGCTGACTTTCAAAGTTTGAACCACTCTATAAACCGCTGGGGTAGGGCCTACCACTTATCATTTAATTCAATAAAATTCCTTAGGTTTTAGCTTACCCACTGAAAAGAGGTGAACGACTTGGTAAAGATTTGTTTGTGAAAGACACTTCTGTCGTTACACAGCGGAAAGGAAGTTATACTTTGAGAACTATATCACCTCTCCGTTTCATAAAAAAACGTCAGTAGGTTTGTAAGAAAACATTTACTGTGCCCCCAAAGTTGTAGATGTCTGGTTTTTAAATTGGCCTCTTTACGTGACTTTTCTATATGTCTTCAATATGCAGATAAAATGAACACTAATATCACAAATGCAGTGAGTGTACGTCGCGGATCAGAAGAGCGAATAAGACTGTAAATAAAGTTTTTTTTCTTAAAATTATTTAAAACCTACGTTACGTTTTTAAGATGGCCGTCTATCTTTTTGAAAATTGACCTTTTTCGTCTATCCCTCTCCCTATGATAGGATACAACACAGACTTCCCAAAACGTCGGGCTCAAAATTTTTCTCGAGCGAAAAGCTTGAGCTAGAAATTTATGTTTTCGGTGGCAAAGTGAGCGAGAAACCGGGAGCTCGACTTGTTTCCCTTGTAGAAAATCGCATCAAGTGATGTCATTTTGGCGCGAGTTATTTGCGTCCAGACTGGGGCCTACTACCGGAACCGGAAACGAAAAGCGAACGATGTTGAGATAGTTTAGATACAACAATGAGAAAAGGAAGAACTGAAGTCTGCGCAGAATCAGAAAACGTGGAAACGGAAGTGGATCGAAAGAATGGACAGCGCATGTCTAAAAAGATGTGTATGCCGGAGGTTCTTGGCACAAACTACTTCACAGAGCTATCTAAAACTGTCCTAAGGTTTTGAGAAGCCATACTTTCAGGTAGCATAACACAGAAACCTATAAAAATAACGGCCACACAAGCAATCAGTTTTCTTCAGCCGGCAACAACAATATTCATTTGATCTGTTGGTCTTTTTCCCTGACAAGCAGGAATAAAAATCCAATAGATCATTCAAGGTAAGCAAAGGGGTTTTTCTTTTTAATATGGAATATTCTTGAAATGAACCCTCACTGACTGAGCAAAATTTTCGGCGGGAAGGTTTAGAAAACCTCAGTGAATAGATGTGAGACAGCCGGCTTCAGAGAAACAGTTATATATGTAAAAGATGACGGCGGGGCTTTTGAGACACAAAGGCCCATATTGTGGTAATAATACCCAGAAGGGTTGCTTTTTTAACAACTGAAAAGAAAATTATGTTTGTCGGGAATAAAGGTGTTCTGAATGGTGAGGACAAAACTGCGGGGTCTCACTCGCCCTTTTACTTCTATCAAAAGGGGCGAGATCTAGTTGCAGTTTTGCGGTATCTTTAATAATTACTTTATGCTAATCAAGCAGATCGTTTCGCGTGTTCAAAGAATGTCCACTTTGAAGGTTAAGACAAAAAGTCTGTCTGACAGCACTGGGTAAAGCTGTGAAAATAGAGTGATGGTGGCCATTGTTCGTACAGCTTTTTCAGGTCATCGCATCTTAACAAAACTTTTAAAATCAAAAGAAATGGGTATGTTCTTAATCCCACGGAATCCTTTCAGTTACTGAGTTTACGCCAAAAAGGAAGTTCAATCATTTCACCATAAGATAAACAAGTTTAACGAAGGCCGGTATCCATTAACACTGTGTTAAATGTTTACAGTATCGCTATACAAGAAAAAACAATTAAATACTGATAATACGTGAACTGAAAGAAAACGGACTATAAAAATTGCTCCTGTAAATATGCTGGGATTTTGGTGATTCTTACGCAGAAAATCGTCGATAAATCGCATCATAAATTCGAGCAGGGTCGAAACATCGTCTATGCAAACGGGCTTCTTAGACAGAAAAGTTTCCCTAATTTTACTTTAAACTGTTAAGTTCAACTCCTGAGTTTTTCTAGTGTTTACTATAAATTAACATGACTGAATGTTAACACCAGCCGAAGTTACTGACCTTCACGTTTGCTACGAAGGGTGCAGTTGCATTTAAATTCATGCACTTTCACTCAATTTGTTTGACCTCTAGATCTAGAAATTACTAGTAAAATAATTATAGAAACATTGCGACGTCGAATGCATGATTCCTAACATTAATGTACTTCTTAAAAACTAGACGATAGAATCTGTTACTACACACATCCTGTTTATATAAGGAACGTTTTAAAGGTCCCTTATGTTTTAGTTAACCTTGCGAGTCTCTCGTTCGCTGTGTTGCAAATGAATGACGGGCTTTTCAGTAGTACCGGAAAAGCTTGACAATTGCGGAGTTGAATAGATGGCGAGAGGTTCCTTCTCCTTAAAAGACAGCACGAAGAAAGTTAAAAGGAATTTTTCTAAGTGAAACAGTCTTCATGACTCAAGTTTTTAGCTTATAGTTTCTCTTCAAAAATTTCTATTATGCCGGCTTAGAATTTGACGAGAAAAACAAAATAAAATATAAAATACATCTAGCAAATCAAGCAGCGATATAACGACAGGGAATGTAACAAAAACAACAAGACACAACTAAATAAACATTTCACAATGTTACCTTCGTTAAGTCTTTTAGTTTTGTGTCAGCGCCTAACTTTCAAAAAAGCATCAAACTTTCAAGTTGAATCGGTCGACATCTGCTGTTTTCAAACTTGTGTGGTGTCCATCTAACCGTTGTTGCCGCAGTAGTGAGAAGAAAAACGAAGAAAAGGTATTTCATTATGTGGAATCAAAACTCTTTGTCATATTAATATTCCAGAGCCCAATCTTATAAGAAATTATCCCGTGCTAAATTGATTTGACATCGCGGCAGGCGCAACAATTTCCCGCACTTTTATTTTGGCGCCTTTTTGTTTACGTTCAAAATCTACCAACGGCCCCATCGTCATGAGAAGGCCAAACAAAGTTAAATGGGAAGTATACGTTTCTTATTTTCCATCCGAAACATGTTTCAAGGGTTTTTAGGTCACAAATTTCTTTATTAGAAATAGTTATAAAAAACACGAAAAAGAACAGGTGACCAAAGCTCGTATGAACGTTGATGCCGAAGCGCGTGCCGTAATGACCCACGCCGTGGTTTTTGGCTAGATCCGTTCTGAAAACCCCAAGAAATTATGCATTTAATAGAACTGGGAAGCTTTTTTTCAGCCATTCTAACTCAAGGGAATTGGGTCTTAATAGAGTGGTATCCCAATCCAGCCTGAGATCAGGCTCTCTTTTCGTTTCGCTTCAGAAATTCTAGCTCTGGCGGGAAAGGCGAAACAAAAAAGAGCCCAAGTTTAGCGCGACCACGTGAGGGAAAATGTATGGAATCTGCTAAAATTGGGCCTGATCGCAGGATAAATCTTCCTTAAATAACCGAAATTAAAATCTCCCGTTCCTATTCCAGGTAGTCAAACAGGATGAATGACAAGATTCATTGTTTGTTTTTTGTCCTTGTACTTCTGACTGGTATATTTTGTCCGAGCAAATGTTTCTTCCCCAGTCGAGTCGGACGTAGGAGATCCCTTCAAAAGTTAGTAGTTACTTACAGTTGTAAAAACATATAAGAAAAGCTGGTCTCAAGTTAGAAACATAGAACTCAGCATGAGAAATACTGAGAACCCCCAAACGTGCGGCCAACCAAAAAATATCTCATATAAAACGCCTTAAGCCAGCAAGAGATACTCAGAAATAGCAACAAGAACAAAAATGGCAAAAAAGTACGTTTGCCACTCGGCTCTCCACTTCTAAAATTTTCCAATGTCCTCGTCATTTATAACGTAACAGTCTAATTTATGTACTGCCCTAAAACTTCTGAGAGCTTGGACTGCCTGTGGTCAGGGAGAGTATTGTGACATTGCTGGAAGATGGAGAAATGAAATATTGAGCATGTGGTGATGTGTAACATTGGGCACGGAAAAAATATAGTGAATGGTAGGGAAGAGCTACCATGAAAGGGACATAGGAAAGTAGCCCGGGGGTGAAGCATGCACAAAACTAATCGGGACGGGATATCCTCACCGCACTGAGGCAAAGTTTACAAGGAGAACGAAAGAAAAATTTTGGCCGATCAATGCAGGGAATTCAAATGCTTCTAAAAAAATGGCTTGGTAAGCTTAAGTGACAAGGGTGTCTGCCCGTTCTTCCTTCAGGTTTCGCCTGCAAGAATTTCGCCCGACAATATCTCGTCCCGATGAGCTTCCCGGGTTAGTGGTAAAGGAGATTTTCGGGAGTGACAATCTCCACCTCCCTGACACCCATCTAAAATTGGAAGTGGACCAATTTACCTAATAATTATAGAAACTCTAATTGTATCCTAATAGTGTGGTTCATTTTCTATTGGGGATAATCTTTTTGTCAAGTTTTAAGTAAGGGCAATTGATGATCAATGTAGAAATTTCGAAATCCAGAACATAATACTTTCGCAGGACACTGATCTATTTTTCTGTATAGAACAACCAACTTTTTTTAACATCAAAAAAGATCATTATAGAAAATAGCGAAAATATCCCCAGAATAGCAACCAATTTAGGCTGTGCCCTTCTTTAGATTCTCTTGCTTATAAATGGCGGTCTGTGCTTCGCCTGTAAGACATAATGTATGAACAGCACTACAGTGAATAGCCTTAAAACGTGATTTCATTAATAAGAGGCTCCGAATTGCACTTTGGTCAATACAGAAGTCTAGAACACCCGGCAAACACGTGTGTTAGTAACTGCTTATTGAAACATGGAGCTTTGCGATAGTTAATTAAAAGAATTCTTATACTTCTTACTTGCAGCTTTGGCCCAGCAAATAAATCAACGAGAGTTTATTTGTTACAGATTCACTCCACTACATTACAAGCAAATAATGAAATGAAATAGGCTAACACTACTATAAGAAAAAAAAAAAAAGTTGTGGAGAAGGAGACAACCAAAAGCGCCAATGCACCATACTAGGGATGCCCCCACTAATTAACATATAACAAAAATATATACAAATAGAAATCTAAATGTTCTAGTATCCTTAATAAAGCTTAAAACATTTCTTTTAAAAGTTGCAATACTGTTTGATTCTCTAATATGATTGGGTAAACCATTCCAGGGTTAAAGAAAAATCAAGATATATTGATAAAGAGGCAAACATTACATATTAAAATTAATAGTGATTAAGAACCGAGGACTTAAACAAAGAAAAATTAATAACCGTCTCGGTTTCCTTCATGAGCTCAGTGAACGAAAAACGATTGACTATCGCCATTGTGATCTGCAACAAGAAAGAAAGCTGGCTATGTTGTCTGTATCACCCGAATTATTCGGGAAGAAGAGCAACGCATGATAACTATTTTGGTCAACGTTCCGAAGTGCAATAACAGAACCAGAAAAAACTAGCCCAGTTGTTTTGATTTGCATGACTGAAATTTCAAATTCAACTATTTTCTTGCTCAAGTGTCTTCTTCACGACGGCATTAGTTCCCATCGTCGTCACCGTCCCCTTCCTTCTATCCCCAGTTCCGCCTCCCTTTTACCCTCCTATGCAGGCCATCAACACCACTCTCGTTGTTCTTCAGCTGGTAAAATGCTGTATAAAACATGGCAATCAGATTAAGAAAAAAAGAACATACTTTAATTAGATTAGTCGTTGGAGAGAAAATTTGTCTGGTCCAGTAGGTTTAAGACCATGAATATCCGCCTAAACTCTAAAGTTGTTCCTCATGTCAACAGGTCCATATTTACGGCAGCTCCTACTGCTCGAAACAACCGCAAAAAGAAATCCAATACTCGATCTTCTCTCCAAGAAGGCCATTCTTTTCTCCGTAATGTGCTTGACATTTGAAGGTTCTAATTCGGAGAAACGCTTATGTTGCTGTAACTGCACCCATGTCTTATCTGTTTGCGACACAAACCGATCCACACATCGTTTCACTATCCATTCTTCGACATTATATCTTTGGCTTACGATTATCACTTCCATTGCTTCGTCTATATTCATGCCATCTTCGCACCAGTGGCTCAAATATTCCTCGCAGCGGGTTTTCAATCGATCAATTTGATATTCAGTCGAAAGCTTCAGAAGGAAAAGACAGTTTTCCTTTGAAATCCAGAGATCCTGATCAGGATAAATACCTTGAAGCATCTGCTCTATTTCTGTCGCATCTTTGCCCGGAAGCGGTATTTTCTGGGCAGATTTCTCTTTGAACTCTAAAGACAACATGGCCTCGAAAACTGGCGAACACAACATTAAAACGGCTCGATGAACATGAAACTCCCTTTCTGCGACTTTAAGAATCAGGTCACTTGATTTCCATGGGCGAGAAAATCTTCCATGGTCTTGACTGTGTGGTCCGCGGGACCTAGTAGCGTAAGCAGCTGAAAGATTCAGAGACATAGCTTAACTTCCGCGTAAAGACTCGTTGGAAGATGGCGACAGCGGGAATCGGAGTGTTCTGACTCGAAACCAGACTTCTCCGTAAAATTTGACGCCTTGATGGAAGTTGGTAGAGGATCCTACGAGGTTGAGCGACTTTTACGTAGGTTATCCCTTGTCGTTATTATTATTGTACCTGTTATCCCAAATCTTCCCAGTTTTAGTTAAATAAATCAACCAGAATGTAATTTAATGCAAATTTCATGACATCAATGTGAATAAATTGTTTTAAAAACTTCAGTTTCATTCCCTTTATCACAGAATTTTCGTCCAGGAAGCAGGGATAAAGGTGGCTGTGTGTTAGGGGGTTAGGGGGGGGGAGGGGGAGGTGGGCGGAGAAGACATTGAACAATATTGTCAATATTGTTTGGTGCATTAAAGGTATGGCACCAAGAGAGGTCTTGATGAAACCACTAACATCTTTTATTAAAATACCCCTCACACGCGAGCGTAAAGTATTAATGAGTCTAATGAGTCAATGAGTCATGAGTTAATGAGTCAATGAATCAGATCGGAAAAAATAAAAGTTTCGGTAGAAACAATAAAATTAAGCATTTATTTTACTTATTTTGTCTACTTCCTTTATTGCTGCCTGTACAAGGCCTATTTCTGACATGAAATCTCGACCTAGGCTGTTTATTAGCAGTTCGCAGGCCCTGCCGCATAGCAGCCTAAATTTTGTGAGTGCCTCGGAAGAAAGTGTTTAATTCTCTTTGAACACAACGCTTAAAGTAAATTGAGATAAACCTATTATGGAATTTCTTAGCGCTCAAAGACTCGAATCTGGGAACAGTCGTTCTTTGATATTCGGTGTGTTGATGTTTGGGCCCGGTTTGAAGTAGACAACCGGTCATGAGTGCGATGTAAAGGTAATCTGGCTGTCATAGGTCCAGAAAGCCATGCATGATTTACACATGTCCTTCTTTCAAGATGGCAACTAAGGGATCGCTAAACCCGATGGTTTTATGTGCAAATTACATAATTTTCTCGCTAGAAAGTAGTGCACCAACATTCTGTTGGCCAGACATTTATTTCACAGTTGCGTTTTCCCTACCACCCAGAAATTTTTAATGTTCTTATAAGCGATGAGTATGAATAGTTAAAGTTTCGCACTACTACTGAGTTTAACGATATAATTAAGGTGACTCGACCCAGTTTTTTTTTGGGGGGTACCATCCTACTTTGAAGCTCTCTGGTATCCCCACCTTTTCTTTTATCGTAAGTCTAACACATAGAATGGATAACATATAGATCAATCTACAATATAACATACAATTTTTGGCGATCGGAGTAAA